GATTCCGTCTCTACGCATCCGGCACGCTTACGCCTTAACAGGTTCAGAGACAATTAGAATGTCATTTTAATTATTAAACGACTGGTTATTTTTGCTTCTTCTCGCTCTCTTACTTCTGATGGTTGGTAATTGTAAATTTTGCAGACAGCTATTGCTACTATTATCTAGCTAACCACCTCTCTACCTAATTATTCCGCAAAAAATATTACTTCTTAATGATATTTACGTAGTTTCTTGGACAATAAATACTACTCTATCACATTCCATTTAAAAGGAAGCATTGTTGACAACTACGATCAAACTATTCCTATAATATTGTCGTAAGAATGCCACATTTCTGACGACCCACCAACCTGCTTTCAGGTCAGCATACGTGGCTGATTGAGGTGACATAGTATCTTAGTCGGGTGGAAGCCATGGTTTCACGCGCAAAGCAAATGTGTCACTCAGTAGGCACCGAGTGAAGTTTCAAAAGTACTCGGTACACTGCTTTAATTTCAATGAAGTCAATGCGGGTGTGATAAACACATCCATAAACTTTAGTGTGCCCACAAGTTCAATGACGCCAACTCCTGAGTCGTTTTCACTTTGGCATTATCAAATTAAGGGCACACCATTTAAAATGAGCCACTAGGTCCCCTCACACATGCGCACATGGCACAGGAATAAGGATACATCTAGGCAACTCCACCACAGCACTCACGAACTCAGCAGTCTTAAAACTTACATTGTTTTAAAAGATCTTATTGAAGTCTTGCATATAGATGGTATTGCCTACTAGACCATGCAACAAGTTTAAAATCTTTAGTAAAAAGGGCAGAAGAACACCCTTCGCCACTCCTTTTAAATATTGCCACTTAAATTATTCGAATCTGGGTCCCTTCCACTTAAAGGACAAATAAATGAATTGTAATTCCTACCTTGTTCGTTTTATTATCCTAAGTAATACAAACAATAAAGATGATGATATTTTACGATGGTTACAACATCCACAGTTCCCAAAATCGCATTTAACTTGAAAGATGAAGTTTTATTGCCGAAATAAAATGCTTGTTTCTGCATTTCCATGTGGTCTTTCAATAGTGCTTACGTTTTGTGGCCATTTTTACTGTTGGTGGACAATACTGCGGGTTCAAGAAAGAATTAAAGCATGACAACGTTAGTAGTAGTAAGCAGATTTAATCCAAGTGGGCGACATATCAACCTTTGATAATGAATTCCACGTTAAACCGTTGAAGGAGGAAGAAATCCGACTTGAGTAGCCCAATCTGAGGGATTCACGATAAAGCGCAATTATAAGTAAACAAGATTCAGTCAATCTTAACACACCTTAAAGAGAAAATTCGTTGTGAATCCCTGAACGAAACAATTTCCTAAGAGGACAGTCCTAGCGTTTATCTTAGGCAAATGCTACAAAGAAAAGCAACTGGTGTATAGATAACACCTACTGTGGAGCATCATTAATTTATTGGCGCTGAGCACGAGATGCATTCGCCCAGGTTCTCTTCACCCAACACAAGTTGAGATATATGTTGACCACTCTACTACATTATTATGTATAAATATAATGTTCGATACTTTAATAGTTTGTTTGATTCTGCATTTGCATGTGTGAGAGATCTTAAAAGACCCCTGATTGCACCTCCTCTCGGCGGCATGGTCTTTTTTCATCCCGTGGCCTCATACTCTACATTTTCTGCCTTAATACTTTGACTTCATATCAAATTAAGTTAATTTATAAATCATTAGTTTGTTCACCACTTATACATCCCAATTCATTTATTAATCTATTCATCAACGTTACATACACTGATTATAGTTCAGAGTCGTTCATTCCATTCTTCATTCAACACTTCATTCACAGTTCATCCTTTCCTTCAATTTTACTTATTCATTTTCCATTTATTTGCAATAAGATCATAAATTCAAAACCTACTTGAAACCCTCTTTCCAGACTCACACAATCATTAGTTCTCAAATCATTTAATCATTCGTCAATCTAGCTCTTCCCTGATTGGTGGAGGTAAAGGTCAATAGGCATCTGCAAATATAAAAGCAGCAATATCATTCAACTATTCCATTTCCAGCTCAAAATGCAAATGCTTCTCGCACTTGTGGTTCTGCTTTTTGGCACATGCTACTCGCAAAAAGTCATCTTGATCTCCCTTGACGGCTTCCGTCACGATTACATCGAATACGCCCTTAAAAATGGCAGGAATGTTTCCGCTTTCCAAAGAATCGCCAGTGAGGGCTTTCGTGGCATGAAAGTTCAGAGCGTGATGGTCACACTCACATTCCCATCACACTTTACTCTCGCTACTGGACGCAATGTCGAACGCCATGGCCTCGTGGGCAATACATTCTACGACCCAGATTTTGATGAAGGCTACAAATACACTGACGCGAAAATAAACCTTCAGCCCAAATGGTTCACCATGAACAACAACGAGCAGATATGGCTTACTAATCAGAGAAATGGTGGGAAGAGTGGCGTCGTCTATTGGCCAGGCAGTGATTCGCGCATGTACGGCGAGATGGAGTATGTCAATTTCGGTCTCTACAGCAGTCTGCCAAGCATCAGATATCGGGTGGATCGAGTCATGGATTGGATCACTAAGCCCGACGTGAACTTCGTTGCCATGTATTACAACGAACCGGACTCAAGCGGCCACAAGTATGGCCCCGATTCAAAGGAGGTTCTTGAGGCAGTGGAAGAGGTGAACGACGGTATTGCTTACCTGCTGCAAAGAATCGAGGAGTCGAATGACTTCGATGAACCACCAAACATCATAGTGACAAGTGATCATGGCATGACAAGAGTCAACCACACCAAAATTGTCAATGTGAGTAGTGTCCTGTCTCCGAGTCAGTATCGATTTGGCGTGGACGGTTCGCCTGCCACACTGGGTATATGGCAGACACCGGGTGGTTAGTCAAAGATCACCTTTATTCTTTTGCTGTGTGTTTGCAACCACTTAGTTGATGGTTCTGTTAACCTCATTTTCAGGTTTATCATTGGATGAAATATATGCCAAACTTAAGAAGCTAAATAATTGCGACGTGTACTGGAAGAAGGACATACCTGCCGAATACCACTTTAAGGACAATAAGAGAATTGCTCCGATTGTTGTCTTCCCACATATCGGTTGGATGGTTCAAACCAATGCTTCTGATCCATACAAGGATACCCTCAGTAAGTCTTCTACTTGTGGATGGCAGTTCATTTCACATCCAGCGGCACCGCTGGAATGAGTAACCACTGATCTGTAATGCTACAGATGGTATGCACGGTTACAACAACTCCGAACCTGACATGCATCCCTTCATTGTCGCCATGGGACCGGGCATTCGAAATCTGGGCACTGTACCGGTGTTCTACCAGGTCGATGTCTACGCTCTCGTCTGCCTCCTGCTGAAGATTTACAAGCCGAACGTAGTTGACAGTGATGTGTACCGTGTTGCGCCATTCGTCAAATACCTGCCTTCGATGGATGTGCTGAGACAGTTTGACCGATACGCCAAGGGCTTGGATCCACTTTCTGGTGGTTCCATGATGCTTGCAGGTGGGAAGTAGTTTTGCTCTTAGTGTCGCATCGATGCCACTAAGTTGGACTTGTCTTCACCTTGTTCGATTTGTCTTACCGTTTTAGGCAACATCTCTCTGATGATCGTCCTCATGTTGGCCATACAACTAATTCTGCGCCACTGATGCATATGGATGAGTTTTGTTCAAAAATACATTTTAAATCATTTCTTTGTTTGTTATATGTAATTTGGAAACATTCTGTTTGAAGCCAACTTCATATAAAATGGGTTCTTTGTAACACAGACTCCTTAACTGCGGGATTAGTAAGACAAACGATCCTACTCATTTATGAAGCAATTTCTTAAAAAACTTTTGGTTTTAGTTTAAAGAACTTAACAATACAATAACAGAGTTCCCGCTCCTGTTGGAACATACTGGATAGGGGAATAAGTAAACTAAATGCTAACAGTTAGGATTTAGTCCAAATTGCGGGGAAATGAAGGAAGAATGGAAGGCGATTACGTTACGTGTTTGGATCTCTAAGACGTAATTGTTAAAATTACTTGTCAATCCAGTGACGCAATCAAGGTGTGTCAAGTAGGGGGGTGGAGAGCTCCAGAATATCAAAGTTCAAAGGGCGCTACCTCAGCCTAGATGGTTCTGGCAGGCTTGGGATTTTAGGTAATAAGCACTATCAGTGTTGGATATTTCTAGGCACACCCGGGGGTACTCAGTGCCCCTACGAAGAACGCCTGCATTAAGTGTAGTTTTTTGAAATAAAATTTTATTTTTTCACCCCGTAATAATACCAGCATGAAAAGTGTAGGAAAATTTTGAATGCTTCTTGCTGAAGGAGAATTAACGGCCCAACTTTGTCAGCAATAACTCCAAGGCTTCGTCAAATTTGGAATCAGCGTTGAAAGTAATGGGAACACATGAGCAAGTGAAAATAAGTGACATGGATGGGAAATTAGACAGAGGTAAGCAATACGAATTGCCAACAGAAAACAAATACCAGATACCAAGTTTCAAATACCTAATTAAAGTAAGAAATAACACCTTATTAATGGGAAAATGCGTCATTTTGCAAGACAAGGCAGGTGTTAATGTGTTAGTGTGCCGGATGCGTAGAGACGGAATCGTTCGAGGTATTGCTCACTCGGTCTTTCCTTCAAATACGGCAACACACGGTCAATCAGTCCGTCGATTTTGTTCGGCTTGTCCAGTCCCAACATGGCACAGATGTATGGGTAGAGGTCAATCTGGTAGAAGTGTTGTCGTTCTGTCAAATGTGGAATGTCGGGACCCATCGCCAGCATGAAGGGATGCATGTCGCTTTCCTCGTTGTCGTAGCCGTGCATTCCGTCTGTTGTGGCGAGGAAGAATGAAGGTAAAGAAAAGGTGAAAATGAAAGTGTT